CTGCTACCCACCAGCCCGAGAAGGTGCTGGGGTGTCCCATTGCTGATTGTACACCCCTCCAGCGTGGGAGCTCACACAAAGCAACCCTGAGGGCAGCCTGAGCCCTGCTCTAAACCACTTCCTCAGTCTGTGCCCTCTGGCAATTTGGGGAAAACCTCGACTTGGTGGTGTTGGGGGTGTCTGAGTTGTGCTGGGTGTGCTCCAAGGCCAGGGGGTGGGGCGGGGGCTGCAATGCAGAAGGCTCAGCAGTTACTGGCGGGGGGGGGGCGGCCGGGACATTGGGGGGGGGGGCTGTTAGCACCCCAAGAGCTGTGGGGTTTGTGGGTGTATCTGCAATGGGGCTGAGAGGGGTTGATTGAGCTGTAGAGCTCAGATGGCCGATGGTGGGAGGCAGAGAGAAGTTACTTGTCTTTCTAGAGAAAACACTTGGAGCGATGAGTGCCGTGGCCATGTATGTCTAAATGCTCCCTGGAAAGATGCTAATGACGCAGAATACAGAGGGCTACAGATAAACTTGGGCTGTGGGAGACGAGGTTTTATTTGCATACTTTAAGTTTTGCAGTAAAATGGCATAATTGATGATGTTTATTCCTATGGCAGCACGCTCGGCAGCCTCGCTCTGACCGTACCTTCTAACAATATTTGAGTTCTTTCCATGGTTTTTTTGCATATGGGCTGGGGTGGAGGGTGGGGGCAGCAGCTGCCTGCCCCCGGTGTGAGGCTGTTGCAAGGGCTGGCTGCCTCGTGTCCCTGGCCAGCTCTAGAGCAGGGGCATCTGCTCCTGGATGGAGTGGGATGCGAGTGCCCTTTGGGGCTCTGGGAAGTGAGGGGTGGCCACTGGGGCCAAAGCCATGGCCGGGGAGGACAGAGGGAGGGGGGATCATCCTGGTGTGGGGCAGGTGTCTCATCAGCTGGGAGGAGGGTGGGTGCAGGCATCCCACAACCTCAGTTCCCCTCGTGTCCTGGGAGGTTCCCCTGGGCCAGGGCCAGCCCCGGTGAGAAGCCGCAGCGTCGGGCAGCCAGGG